ATATATATATATTTCATAAGAGTAGCTTTTTGAATGGAGCCTGATGGAACTAAAGGTGCTTTAAAGGGAGCACCTAGTGGCCGTCAGTGGTATTGCACGTTAAAAGGTCATACATTACTTTTACTTTCTTTACAACTGAATGCAGGAGGGTTTTAAAAACAAAGCTCAACAGTCGTATCAGCAGTTACCAAACGTTGGGGACAAAATAGAGAGATAGAGTGAAAACAAGCAAAAAACGAAACCATTAGGAAACAAGAAAAACAAAATAAAACACTCCTCCATCAAAATATGACAAATAAAATCACAAATTCTGATACCAATCCATTTCTTCTTCTTTTCTTTTGCATCTGTGTAATTTTTCATTTATTCTTATGCAACAAACACACCTGAGAGAAAACTGATAAACTGATCCCAATGTTTTTTTTGTTGTTTTTTTTTCCTGTAATATATTCATTTATATAAATTTACAACTATTATCACATAATTCAAGCATATATCGTATACACATACATATATCTAGTGAAAGAATACTTTAATATTCAATAATACAGTTGTATGGTACAGTAGCAGTCGGGTGCGTTTCTCTTTCTCATTAGGTATAGTTTGAAGGGGGCGGTATAAACAAAGTGTTTGTGTATTGTTCTATAGATTAATCAATACAGTTTGAAACTAAAGAAAAATAAACACAAAATAATTGAATAAAAGACAAATAAAAGGTATAGGCAGTTCAGTAAAGTGAGATGTGTGTTTGCATATGTGTGAAAATGTCTGTGTGTGTGTYAGTTTGTCAGGTAGAGGATCAGATCAGCACCATAGAAGTTCATAACAACATCACCAACAACAATAAGGATTAAAACCAGGACGAGGTCTGTGCTTGTCTTAGTGTTTGTGTCTTCATGCTGACGCTTTCAGTCACTGTTCAACGTGGGCACATCAACCCTAAACCAGCTAGTGTTACGTTTATTTGCCCATCCTGGACATGATTGAGGAGTAAATAGAAAGTACACAAGTCACCGACTTAAATGCAAACCTGCCAGATTTAAAAAAGAGTTCCTTCGTTTCTTTATTCTCAAAAACATCTGCTCAAATCCAGGTGTTTTGATGGCTGATCACTTCCTGTTTTATACTTTTTTCTCTTTCACCTTTAAAAATAAAAAGCCCTGTGATTATTCAACATATTTGAAGAGAAGAGAACAACTCAAGTGCTCAAAATGAGCTCACAAGGAAAACAAACACATTTTTTTTAAACTATACAGTTTTTGTTTCTTCCACTTGTCGCTCCAACCCCAAAAAAATTTTATTGAAATACCTCACCTTGTCTCCGACTGAGCAAAATACCTGATTCAACCTTGATACATTCTCTGTTTCACCTCTGCCGAACCAGCTCTGTAATGTTGAAAATAGATCATTTGTTGTTAAGCAATAAACAGCTAAGAGGAAAAAGAGCTATATGTGGCCCCGTGAGCGTCCAGCTAACAGCCCCACCCCTCCCCATATATAAAATATACAAAAGATTATCTCCAAAATCCTCCAGAATATCTTTACTAATAGAAAAATATACAATAATCATTTGTCAAAATCTCTTTGCATTAAGAACAAAAACCCTGCACCTTTTCCTTTCTTCTCCTTTTTTGCTGGACTAGTCTTGGCTTTTCCTGCCCAATTCAAAAATATACACTTTTTTTTGTTATAGAAAACAACAAAAAAATATCCACCTGACCTTTCCTGGCTTGTGTCCATAAAGCCTCGAGCTTTAAGAAAAAAAAAGTAAGATTTCACTGGCATATTGTGATTTCCACACCCTGTTTGAACTGGCCAGAGCAGCGGCCGGAATGCACTACCTGCAAAAAACGCAGAGCGACACCGGGCGCAAGCACGGCAGCCGAAGTGAYGGAAGCTGGCGAGGCGTTGCAGGCCGGGCGACGGGACGGGACAGGAAAAAAAAAACGGTGACTGTGYTGTTCTGTCGTGACTTCCTGAAGTTCAGCTTATGTTTGCGCCCGGTGTCACACAGTGCTTACTGCAGGTCTACTCCAGCCCCGCCCCATCCTCGCCACTTCAACTAAAGTGCTGCTGTCGTCGGGTTGTGCCCTTCTCTCGTTTCCCCTCCCCAAGCCCCGCCTCCCTCCCATCTTGCTCCGCCTCCGCCTCACAAGTCTCCGTGCCGGCTCTCGTACTTGTTGATGATGTTCCGGCAGCGGCCCAGCTCCTTCCGCATGTCGGCCACCTCCTGGCGGAGGGCGGCGTTCTCGCGCTCCAGGAAGGCGGCGCGCACCGAGATCTGGTTCTCCTTCAGCCGCCGGGCGTCCCGCGAGCGCTTGGCCGCCTCGTTGTTCTTTAAGCGCCGGCTCCAGTACTTCTCGTCCTGTCGTCGTCACCCCGGTGTGGTGTGTTGGGGGTGTGTGGGAGAGAAGGTGAAGGGATGAGAGACACGAACAAACAAAATGAAAATAAAAAAACAAAGAGGAGAAAGTGGGATGACAAGGGTCAGTTATGTGATGAGGAGAAAAATAGTCAGAAAGAAAAGCAGCTGAGTCACAGCTATAAATCACCAAAAAAAGATCTGACAAGATTGTAACATTTCAAATCTCTCTTTTTCACATTCAAATCATTCACGTGATTCTATAAATGCTGCAATGTTTTGGCTTGAATTCCTCCTTATTGCACCCGCTTTGTTATCATCCATTAAATGGACGTTATTAGCCATTATCAGTCCCATAGAATGGCTTCAGATTGTCAGCTGGTTAGTATGAGGCATAACTCCACTAAGATTATTTTTAGAGAAAATGACATAGGCTACACTAGAGTTGCATTCCAGTGTATGTGGCACTGGTAACCCACTAGGGGGCACTGTCGGACAGTCTGAAGCCTTTCTATGGGACTGATAACGGCTAACAACGTCCATTTAATGGATGATAACATCCGAACCCGCTGCTTATTGTAACTCCACAATCCCCTCTTTAACACGTTTTCTGAGATTAACTCATTTTGAGGCTGCCTCTTTAAACCCAACACCGCGTCCCCTCCAGCTTTCAGAGCGGTCCATAGTTCAATAAAGGGATTTTGCGACTATATTGTGACGTAATAGTTCAGAAAACGTCATAAAAAATAGAGAAAGGTTGAAAAATATGACACAAACAGAATAWAAAGATATCTACACAACACTTGTAGAAACTTAATTCAACTTTTCTGCACTCGTAGAGACTCCAAGTACACAACGAAATGTATTTAACGGCTAAAAAAGTGGATTTTGCATGCTATGTCCCATTTAACCCTCTCTGTGATGTGGGGCTGATATTACATATAGCAGAACTTAAAGCCTGTTTACGAGGAGCTGCTCTCTACTTCACCTTTAGCTTTTGCCAGAGATCATTTTTCCAAAGCTGCAAACGCATGATTGATGGAACTAAGCAGGACTGAACGCAGCAAGGTAAGCGCCTTCATCTCTCCATGAATTATAAACGCCTCAGGAGCTGCAGCTGCTCCGCTCTGAACTGTGAAAGCATGAGCCATTGATCACAGCTTTCCCTATTGTGCAACGAGCTGAGTACAAAATATTTTTGGACTCTCGTCAGGAGGCATCAATACCGGTGGGCGGCACGCTCCTTCAGTCTTTTTTTTTTTCTCCATRGCAGCACAGGAGCTGTCAAAAAGCTGTGGCCTTTGTAAGGATGAAGCTCAGGCCTTATAAATAAACAGAACGGCTGCTGCTCTCTGTTTGAACTGGATGCTGAAGGAAAATATGATCTGTGCTCAGCTCTGAGTGAGTCTGTTAAGTTTTCATTTTCACAAACCTTATAAACAAGTGTCACTCACTAATAGCTTAAAACAAAGGATCCAGCAAGGCCAAACTGGTCAAAGTCGCAGGTCCACACTCAATGAAAACAAAACACTTTGGTAAATGCACCAATTCTGTTTAAATATTTGTAACCCAAAAATGCAAGTTTCAGTGTGATTTTATAAAAATATTTAAACTAAATGTCTGATTACAGGTTTGCACGCTTGACAGCAATGCATTGTGGGAAATGTAGTACCTTCTGCTCATCAGGAACCAGCATCTTGCGCGCCTTTTTGATCATGGGCTGAGGCTTCAGCTCCTCGTCGGAGAAGCGATGCCGCCGCGGGTCGAACGCCTCCTGTCCCGGGACGCTGGACAGCGCCAGGTCTGCGGGGTCGGGGTCAAAGTTCACCATGATGTCACTGTTCCCGTTGGCAGCAGCCGGAGGTCCAGGGGGCCCTGGAGGGCAAGTGGAGGTGGGTGAGGGGTCCTGAGGCACCGCCTGCCCCCCTGGTAAAGAAAAAAAAAAAAGGTTGTTTTGTCATGAACTGAATCCTGAAGGTTTAACAGTGAAATGTCAGGTGATTTAGCTTCAGCAGGTAAGATATTTATATTTTATTTGCTTTTGTTGTTTTGTTTTAACATATTTTATAATTTTGCCMTTATCTGATGTAAATAAACAGCTTTTGTTTTCAAGACAGATGCAAATACACAGAAAATGCATAAATGCTGTGTAAAATAAGAGACACAAACTAAGAATTTTACCTGAAATACCTTATTTTGAGAAAACATCAGGAATTAGGGGAAATATAGCACAAAGGGAGAGAAGATAAATCGTTATGCTGTTATGGACAACATGTTCTAATTGAATTTAAAAAGTAGAAAGTCAGTTTCACAGTTTYACCACCAGGTGTCGGTATTGAGTCGGACACTCTTCATTACTTTCCATCAAGCCAGAAAATTAGGTTTTTATTTGATGTTTTATGTTGCTTCACATATAAAGTATGTTTTTTTATCACAAAATAAACAATAATAAATAACTAATCTGATCAGACATTTGTGTTTTCTCTATCTAAACAGGATTTTATTATTGATATTTTCAATAAAACACAATAATAACACTTTACAATCCTTAAATAACAGAGTTTGAGACCTAAAATACCAGAAATAGAAAGCCCAATTAAATCTAAACCAGCCCATGGAATATGACAGTACTGTGTGCCAGTGAATGTGAAGTTCTTCCAATATTTTTTTTTACCCTGCAGCTATTCTGCGTTAGCATTGCCTTGCTTTTCTGAATGTAACACGATAAAACCAAAAATAGGAATTCCACTCTGAGCCAAATCTCTGCACCAAAATGTCTCTGCTTTTCACGAGGCTACTCCTATTTTTGGGCTTTATAAAATCATGGAAAATATAGTATATGTTTTTTTATATGTATTCAAATCTGTAACACTGACAGACGATGTTTAGATTATGTCAGCTGGTATTAATTGTCCATTTATTGTTTGTTTTTTTTTGTGAGGTAAGTTAATGTCCATCATTCWGCACTGAATTATTAATAATGTTTTGTATCCGACTGTAACAGAAGAGAAAAATGAAAACCTTGGTTTAGAACTCGTCCAGTACCAGTCAGACATGTATGTGGCAACATTTGGAGGACACTTCAGCGCTCCAGGCTCTGTGCCACAGATTAAAAATAGCTGCTAAGCTGCCGGTGACCATTAGCCACCAAAACAGTAGTGGAAGCACAGATAAAGGAAGAATACTGCATGTTTATTGCATGGCTTTTAAAGTGAGTTTCATTAATTAACAATGTAATAATGATGCATTTCAAAGCTGTGAGAGTAACTCCATTAAATAAGTTATCTTTTTATGGTCAAACCACAGAAAAAAGTTTCATTTTAAAGCTTTTTCTGCATTCAAAACAKGATTTGAAACTTGGACATCTCAGTCGGAGCTGACACTGATTTGCTGCTCGCCCGCTGCTGTGTGCTGTCAGTCATGTTTTTATGCAACAACCACAGTCCCACAGCCAAATCAGCTACAAGTTCTGCAAAATCAGACTGACGCTTCATGACAGGCAGGAGGGAGGACGACTGAGGTGAAGCCAGCRGTTAACCCCCACGTTCCCCAAAGAAACCCAGCTGAAAACACTTTCCTCACTGAGTGGATGTGTAAACTTTGTGAATGGTGCTTTGTTTTTTCAGACTTAAACTCCAACTGAACTCTAAGATAACATCRTCTCAGGATTGTTTACATTGAATTTGGCTCCTTTTTCCTATTTTGATGAGTCGATGAGAATTAAAAAAAGACGTTCGCCTACACTTTTTTTACACATGCCACTGAGCCAGTATGTTTACGTGAGTGTGTTGTTTCTAAATGAAGAGGTTTGGATTCAGCTCCATGTGCATCACATCGCTCCATCCTCTCCGGTCATTATTCCCATAAAGCTGCTTCTCTTTGCTTTAAGCATAAATGAGGGAAAAAAGGAGTTTATCTGTTATTTTGGCTTCTSGCTGCAGACTCAGAGTCAATCAGGGCTTGTAAACAGAAATCTGATGGAGCCGTAAAAACACGGGAGTGTTGACCGAACTGGTGACCTGTCACTCTGCACTCTGACATGCTGAGTTAGTGGACACAACTTGACAAATACCAATCTTGGCTCTGCTAAACTAAATTGTTTAACCCTTTTCCTTCTCCCCCCACTGTCATTATTGTACATTGTTATTATCTTTTATTATTATTTATTTAATTTTGTGATGGATTTGTTTTACAGTTTGTGGAACACATTCTGTAGAATTTTTCACTTTAGTAATACTTGAAATCAAAACCTGCACAAAACATTTGTTTTGCATATATTGGTACACACAGGACAACAACTTAAACCGTGTATTTGTTCATGACTTTTTTTTACAACTTACATAGTGAGTTAAAAATTACAAAATTGGTTGCATATTTGTGCTTTTGGATATTTTCTTTTCTTTTATAACTCGTAAAAATAAGTTGCTATTTTTGTTAAAACTTCATTAACAAACACTCTTTGAGTTAAACGATTGTTTTATTCATGAATATTAAGATTTTTTATAAGTTGGTGTTTTATGACAAACAAAAGCCTATTCTAGAGAAAATTGTTGAGTAGAAAATAATTACATCCTTAAAAGCCTTTTGATTTATATTTTATTATTATTTGTAAGGTTGTGAAGTTCCGGTAAGAGCCAAAGGAAGTCATTTGACACCCTAGTTAAAAAAAAAAAAAGCCCTCAGATATCATCTGGAAACTACTGAGCCCACGAGGGGACATGGGGGATTTTTTTCTTTTTGCATTCCCACGCAAAAGTATTGCGTTACCTCGCAAAAGTCATTAAACAATGTTGTGCCTACCGGTTTATTAACAAACTCACATGTTCACCATTAGCAAGTTAGCCTACTGCCTTAATTCAGCTTCAGAATGAATATATCACACAACCATGCATGGAAGTATGTCATATGTTGATATTTTAACACAATGCAGTCACGCAACATCAATGTCATTTTCACAAACTTGTGGCGACACATCCTGTTTTGGTAACCGGATATTTCAAAATAAAAGTCTGATTTAATTCAGTTCATATACAAATCAAAYGTTTGCGTGGGAACGCAAAACAATATTGCGAGGGAACGCAAAAGTATTGCGAGGTAATGCAAAGGTATTGTGTGGGAACGCAAAAGAAAAAAACGCCCCCATGCCCCCTCTCGGGCTCCGTAGGAAACACCCAGATATGTCTAAAGGCAGAAACGGCGCCGTTTTGACCCACTGATGAAACAAAACCTGTTAAGGGGGTTAAATGAGGGTGGTATTTCTGTCCAGTGTTTAGTTCCCAGCTTTTGTACATGTTTATGGTTTCCAATCTATTTACTCTTTATGTATCTTTGTCCCGTTCATCATGTGTACCATCTGCAGCTCCGTCTAACAAACTGCTGATAATTCTCTGGCAGCTGGAATGAGCTGATCCTGGATAAGTCTACCCAAAGCCTGATCCCAATAACAACCATTTTGAGAAAAAAAATTTGAATCTGACCCAAGAACATGGCTTCCTCTGCTGCCAAACGTGTCCTCGTCTGGCTTCATTTCCTGTCTGAGAACAGGAGGCATTTGGAGGAAGCAGTCGTTGATTCTGCTTGGATTAATTTAGCTCAGATTATGTTTTTTTTCTTTCACTCTGCCTGTCAAGCTCTTCAGCTCTTGTTTTTTTTATTGTAAATGGTTTGCATTTCCAGCAGTGAATTAATTACGAGGTCTAAATTCACTGATACGGATGCAAAAATGCAGTTTTTAGTGCTTCTTTTTCATTTGAAATAATCATGTTTATGTATTTCGACACTCACGTCCTTGTCGGTTCTGTTTGGTGACATTCAAGGTTTAAAGCTGGAAGTTTCATTTCTTATTCATGTTTTAGTCGGGTTAAGAAAACCAAGTTGAAATCCTTGGTTTTGAAGTCTTTATCGCAGTAATCGCCTCAGGATGTGAGCAGTTGATCCTCAGCAGGACTGTTTGGAAGCATTCTGACGAGTTTCACGTCTTATAGCGTCAAAAACATCAAGAACGTTTCCTGCTCTTGTTTTTGTCAAGGATTCGATTCTGTCCTTCTTCCAAGAGTTGACATTTCGCTCTGATGTCCACCAATCATACGGGGGTCAGCTGCCGTGGGCCGAGACGCCCACAGCAGCTGAAAATAGACAGGTTGAGGTTTGAGAGTCAGGTGAGCAACTCTTCCTCTTGACTAATCTCTTGTTTGATCCATCTAAACGCACATGATCCACCTACACRTCAGGCTGAATGTAACCAACTCACAGCTGCTCTCATGGGGTGGCAGAAAATATATCACAATTGGAAAATTGGCTTGATGTGGACGATGCAGGTAAGTTAAAATAGATCATTAAAGCATGAAATGAAACATCTTCCTCTGTCCTTCAACACAAGGTCATGTAAAGTCCTTTTTCCAGCTTTTTCTTATGTAAGAGGAAAACACAAAACCTTTACCAGAGGATAGTCATCACGCTAATTGCTCAGGAATCAAGGTAACAATTATCKTTTAGTGGAATTACTGTAATCCAGTTGATTTTTGTGTACCTTTTTACTGGCTTTTCACACTCAACAAACGGCTCAGATTCAAAGTGATCGTGACGGGTACGGTTACAWGATTGTTGGTGTCGGCTAACACAACTGTTGAGTTAGACAAAGCACTCTGACTCACCACTTGCTTTAGTTTAAAACAAACATTTTGGCAATATTCTTGAGCAAACAGTGTTAAAACTGTGCTAAGGCAGTTAACACTTATTCATCGATAAAAAACATCAAGGCAGGAACAGTAGCTACGCCCTTATTTCCTTTTAGTTTAGATGAAGTAAGAGTCTGAGTCAGATCTTTTGTTGGTAATATTTACTACAGTATATCATAGTAAAGTGTATTTACTGTAGTGTAACAGAAGCAGTAATAAAAAGAGATTAGAAATGTTTTGTTTCTGGAA